AGGGAAAAGGCGGGAAAAACTGAGGGGAAAAGTGGGGAAAAAATGGGGAAAAGTGAGGGGAAAGGCAGAGGAAAATTGAGGGGAAATGTGGGGAAAAGGGTGGGAAAAATGGTGGGAAAAACTGAGGGGAAAAGGGGTGGGAAACCTGAGGGGAAATGTGGGGAAAAGGGCAGGAAAAAGTGAAGGGAAATTTGTGAAAAACTGACAGGAAAAGAGTGGGAAAAACTGAGGGGAAATGTGGGGAAAAGGGTGGAAAAAACAGGGAAAAACTGAGGGGAAAAGTGGGGATAAAATGAGGAAAACTGAGGGGAAATGTGGGGCAAAACTGAGGGGAAATGCAGGGAAAAAATGGGGAAAACTGAGGGGAAATGTGGGGAAAAGGGTGGGGAAAATGGTGGAAAAAACTGAGGGGAAAAGGGCAGGAAAACCTGAGGGAAAATGTAGTAAAAAGAGTGGGAAAAAGTGAGGGGAAAAGGGGAAAAAAGGGCAGTAAAAACTGAAGGGAAATTTGGGAAAAACTGAGAGGAAAAGAGTGGGAAAAATTGAGGGGAAATGTGGGGAAAAGGGTGGGAAAAAAGGAGGGGAAAAGTGGAAAAAGGGGCAGGAAGAACTGAAGGGAAATGCAGGGAAAAAATGGGGAAACCTGAGGGGAAATGTGAGGAAAAGGGTGGGAAAAGCTGAGGGGAAATGTTGGGAAAAACTGAGGGGAAAAGGGGCAGGAAAAGGGCAGGTGAAGCAAAAAGAAAAGGAAAAAAAGCAAGGAAAAAATCAAGGAGAAAAAAGAGAGGGGAAATGGCAGCGAGTTGGGAACAGAGGGATTGAGCCGAGCCCGTGGGCAGCAGCAGCAGCGTGGAGAGAGCTGGGAAAATGGGAATTTTGGGGGGTTGGGAGAGGGGAAATGTAGGGAAAAAATGGGGAAAATTGAGGGGAAATGTGGGGAAAAAATGGGGAAAATTGAGGGGGAATGCAGGGAAAAAATGGGGAAAAATGAGGGGGAATGTGGGGAAAAAATAGGGAAAATTGAGGG